GTTCTCGACCTTACAGTCAGTTTTTTTTATTTATTTTAAGGTTTTGCTATAGAGTGCATGCACTTGCTGGAAAGAAACAAGAGAGAAAGTAAGAAATCACCCTCCAGGGGGGATGGCCATGCCACAATCCCTTCTTCTCCAGGCTACTCTTGGAATTTGGGGCACGTGCACAGACTTGCCTAGCATGATTTTCAAGTCACCAGGTCTGGGACTCAAACCATGGAATTGGCCTTCTGGGCTCTACACTACCTACTGACCCTACATTCAGTTTTTAATGTCATCATCAAATTAATGTAATTAGGAGTAATCTGTTCTAAGAAGATTGGTTTATCAGGTGTGTTTATCTTTCATAGAAAATCAAATCTCTAAGTTATTGCACTTGCTCTTCTTTGAGATAAACACTTTACAAATGGGAGCTTTTGGCTTACTTAGTGATTAATCCTTTTTTTAGTAACAGTACTGTTGATCCTCAGTTTAGTTAATGACATTTTTATACCAAGAATGTAACAATCATACTGCTTAATATTTGCTTCCTTTCACCCCAATCTATACAATTTTTTGTTGCATTTTGTTTAATTTTAGGTTTTTGCCATAGGGTATGGGTGCTCACTGGAGAGAGATACAAAGAGACAGAGGGTAAGTGGGAAGTCACTCCCTAGAGGCATGGCTGCAGTCCCTTCTCCATTCTCCTTCTGGGATTTGGGGCATGTATGCACATGTGCCTGGCATGATTTTCAAGCTGCCGAGTTTGGGACTCGAGCCACAGTAGGTCATTTGGGAATCCAGTGTCTTAACTACCACACCACCTGCTGGCCCTACAGCACAGATTTTTTTTATAGGTACCCATTCCTAACAAAGAGGATTCTGGAGTTCCCTTCTTTAGTATTCTATTCCTCTGTACATATGAGCAGATTCATCCCCAAATCTGTACTCCATCAGTTCTGTCATCTCTACTCTGACAAAAGGCATTAGTGTCTGCAAAAAAAATGTAAGGTAATTTATTGACAAAAATTACACATACTGGGCCCAGCACATGGTGTAATGGTTACATTGCTGACCATAGTTGACCATGGTTTGAGTCCCAGATCTGGCAGCTTGAAACTCAGGCTGGGCGCGTGTACATGTGTGCCCAAAATCCCAAGAGGAGAATGAAGGAGAAGGGATTGCAGCATGACTATCCTCTCTTGGGGGTTATTTCTCACTTTCTCCCCCACCCCATGAGCACACATGCTCTATAGCAAAAATCTCTCAAAGAATTACATATATTACTTTTCTCTAAATAATATCTTTGTGTTCTTTTGTAGTAGAAAACATTAGTAAAATATTAAATCTCTGAAGCTGGGGACAGATCTGGTACTGCACCTTCAAATAGATAGGAATGTTGACCTATGTGGATATTTTTCTCTTTTTTTCTGTTTACAGAAAAAATTTATGAATAAGACTATTTTATTAGGACTTTCTCAGTTGCAAAACACAGAAATCCGATTTAAACCAGCTTAAGCAAAGGATACTTTATCTTATAACTACATCTCCTAGTAGTAACTAGATCTCAGGAACACAGGGTTGACAGATTCAGACATTCTCGAGTCTTTGTCTTTCCCTCTCTCATCTCTTGTTTTAGTCTTTCTGAATTGACTTCATCCCCTTGTAGGCACTTGAAGCTTTGGGCACTTTTTTGTAGAACTCAGAAAAAAATTCCTGGCAACTCTACTTAGAAGAAACCATGTGTCTGGTAGTGTAGTCTAGTAGTTAAAGTGAGCCAAATCCTACATGGCTGATTGTTCAGATCTCAGCCTCAATGGCTTGAAAAACATGCATAGTGCATGTGTGTAGATGCCCCAAATCCCAACAAGGTGTAGAAATGGAGGAGAAGGGATTGTGTCATGACCATGCCCCATTGCAGGGTGCTTTTTCCCTCTCTCTGTCACTTTCTGGCAAATGCAGACACCCTCTAGCAAAAAAGAAAAAGAACTGTGACCAGGGGCAAGGTCTGTGACCAGAAAGAGTGCAAGGGGATAGTGCGGAGCAGACAAAATAATCACTGCCAGTCAGGAGTGACTTGGGTGAAGTTCAAGAGAACTCTATTTAGGAGCCAGGGATGCCTGGTGTGACAGAATGGTGAAAGAAGGCCTATTGTTGATCACTAACTCTGTTTTTATTAGCTGCATGGCCTTAGAAAAAGTGACTGCCTTTTTCTCATTTCTGAGGTTACTGTCTACTCTATGGATACCAGAAGGCTTCATTCAGGGTGAGCCAGGTGAGGCGATGCAGTGAGTGCAGGATGCAGACGGAAGAATCTCTACCTCTTCTTCACCTCCGTGCTCCTTACTGAAGGGGACATTTTCTTCAGC